TACCCTATCCCAGACAAAATGTCAAAAAATGATACCCTAACCCAGACCCAAAAGCCGAAAAACCATACCCTGTAGGGCGGCACATACACATATAGCAAATATAGGGGAGTACAGTACCCCCCCCCCCTCCCCCGGGTTTTCTGGATCCTTAGAAATTCATTATCCACAGTGTAATATAGCCTACGCTGCCCTAAAGTGCTATTTTGATTTGATGGTTTTCTCCAGGTTCTCTGGTTTTATTTCTCCACATGAGATGAGATACCAAAATTTTCATTCAAAAATACTATTTTGGCTTCTTGATTTTGCTCCTGAACTGGGCTTAGAAAAGAATACCCACTCTGACATAACCTTGGCACACCCCTGGATTGACATCCAAAGCGCTCTGTAAATAACGAATTTGTCACAATTTTGTAACATGCATTTATTATGCAAACAACCTCCCAATGGACCAATCACGAGACTTCATTCATTAGATTCACGTGATGGACCTGACCTTTATATTGGACTTTGATCATGATAAGGCAAAATGGACACGCGTATTCTGTTGTGATTTTTCTTTCTCCAAAAAATACTAAAAACAGTGTTTTATTCTCGTGTTAATTGATCTTAAGGTAGACCAGGATGGATGAAGAAGACGTTGGAGCTACAAGTTCAGAGATCGAGCCGTTTGAACTGAACTTATCGCACCGTTTTCTGGAAGAACTTCCCGAAGAAGGATTCCTTCTTAACAACCTGAATCCTTTGAAAATCACTTGTTTGTCTTTACTCGGAAATCAAATTTCTGTGCTTCCTGATTCTATATCTCTGTTCAAGAATCTCGTAGAGTTAGATGTGTCTTCAAATGGGCTTGTGGCGATCTCTCCGCGAATTTCTGAACTAAAAAATCTAAGCAATATTGTAGCAAAGAACAACAACATCGAAGAGTTACCCAAGGATTTTGGTCTTCTGTGTCGTTTGGAAAATTTAAACTTAAGTGGGAATAAATTTCACTCTTTTGTTCCTCAAATATTTGAGTTAGCAAATCTCAGAGCCTTATATCTAGGAGGGAATATGATAAATCGTATACCACCACAAATACAGAGCCTTAAAAAGTAAGTAAACAGTCATAATTTTGAGTCAAAATTTACGATATGCAATCTTACACGTGTTTTACTTATTTATTATTATACAAAATGAAAATGTATTTTGTTTGTATAATAAATTTGAAAATTATCTTATCTTTAAAACGTACATTTATTTTTCATTATTTTTTCATATTTTTTCCTTGTATTAAGTATGGGAGTGTTAGACATACAGGAAGGCATACATCACGCTATTTCTAAGAGGTTTATGATATATGAGACCAGTTATCTTTAGTAGTCGTGATTGATCTATCCTTCATTCGTCAGATTATGTAACCCCTTTCGCTTAATAAGTTGGTGTGAACCCATGGCCAATCAAAAGGCAGTACCATAGCATAGCTAAGCCCTATCCAGTCAAAACTTACTTGTTTCTCAAAGCATGTTATTCTCACTTTAACATTACTGTAATCAGTCAATCAATCCTCTAAGAACTTATAAATCTCATTCAAAATATGAACATTTACAAAAGGTTACATATACATTAAAAACTATATTACGCTATATATTAAATATAATAATATATTAAGAAAACTGTAAACGAATGATGCAACCTTTATAAAATCTTTCTGGCTGTTGATTAATATATAGTATACAACAGTTCTGTAAGCCAAACAAAAACAGATTGTACAAACTGTATACAGACATGTAATTTGGTATGCTTTTGCTTTGAATTCTACATCCTGTCTATGTGTATAGTGCCAGTGAGTTATAAATGGTTATTCAGTAATGCTTGAAAACATAAATGTTAATGTAGATTAAGCTCATAGAATCGTTTTCACAGAGGGATTGCATGTTTTGAAATGGGATAACATTATGCAGTGTGTCAGTGTACAGTGTACTGGGAAGCACCAGTGGCGTGCGCTGCTAATGCGCCACCTCTCACCAATGCGGCCCGAGTTCGAGTCCTGCCGATCTCGATGTCGTATGTGAGTAGAGTTGTTTGTTGGTTCTCTCCTGTGCTTCGAGGGTTTTTCTCCAGGTTCTCCGGTTTTCCTCCCTCCTCAAAAATCAACTCCTAAATTCTAATTCGATCTTTGGGCTTTCACTTAGTTTGGAGCCTAGCTCTGTTGTGATTGTCCCACGCTGTGATACAACAGCAAAAAGCTTTGAAGATAGATTTTTTTTAGATCTCGTTAAGCTATAGCTTGAGTGCTTTACTTATATGTTGTCTTATTTTTTTCCTTTCTTCAGGCTTGAGATTCTCTACCTTGGTGGCAACAGACTGAAAGGTATTCCTGCCGAGATGGGATATCTACAAAAGTTGAGGGCACTCAATCTATGCAATAACATGATTGAATCCTTACCCTTCACCTTAAAATGGTTATCATCCTTGCATTCGCTTAGTCTACACAACAACAAACTAACCACTCTTCCAATCCAAATCGTACGACTGAAAAACCTGGAGTCGTTGAGTCTTCGAGATAATCCACTTGTTGTCCGCTTCGTCAAAGATATGGTTTTTGATCCACCAAGTCTTCTGGAGCTAACAGCACGTTATATCAAAAACCATAACATGAAATACACAGTCAATGACTTACCGCCTACATTGGTGAGGTACCTGGATAGCGCTAGAAGTTGTGTTAACCCACGGTGTAAAGGAGTGTATTTTGATTCCAGTGTACGATGTGTCAAGTTTGTGGACTTTTGTGGAAAATATCGGGTTCCTTTAGAACAGTTTTTATGTTCACCTCATGAGAATTATCGCTGGGAAGAATACTCCTTCTCCAGTGGTAGTGGTGTTAGCAGTGATGAAGAAGATGAACTTGTTCCAAGAGACAAGATGCGAAAAGTCTTGCTTGGATAATAGATCATTCATGACTAGATAGATTGGGGCAGTAAGTGGAGACTTATGCTCTGTACATAGAGAACTTAAAAACTTAAATTTTCTTTGCTAGGACATAGAAGGGGGATTGAAATTTCCAAGGGATGGACAGATAGGAAAAAAAATTCCTAAAACAAATTATTTAATGATTTAGAAGAAAAACTGAATTTCTTGTGTATATATTTTTTTGAACTTTCAGGATTAGTTATTAGGGATTTTTCATTAATGTATTTTAGAATTATGCATAACAATATGCATGATTAACCTAAAAGAATATATATATATATTTTAGTAAGCTGTTAGTGTGGTTGGATATTCTTCTTACATCGATAGGTTGAAAACAATGAACTGTGTAATTCACAATAGTTGTTATAAAGTATAGGAAAAAATATAAATTATGTAATTAGACAGTAAGTAATTGAATTTGTAGGAAAGAAATATATAAACTCATAATCAGTATCTTTTGGTGTTCTTGAAAACTCTTCATTGACAGTACTGTCCCAGGACTTAAAATAACAAATTATGGCTGTAGTTTTATCTTAGTCATATCTCATTTCTGCCTCAACATGACTGGTCAAAATGACCAGCAAGGTAAAGATTTGATGGGACAACTTCCAATTCTGGATGGACGTTGAGTAATGTCTAGTCATTATTTTAAGCCCTGCTGTATACAGAAGAAATAATGACACCAATATTTATGAGTACTTGAATGTGTAAGATAAGAGTACTATTAGCCTTTCTTGAGTTGCAGAACATGTTGTATCGTGGCTATTTTAGGGGATGCTTTTAATACTTATATGGCATCGTTTTTGCTTGCTGATCACAAAAAGTGATAGGAAACCTTCATTGTCATGTTAATTTTCAAAATTATATTGTTTTTGAAGCATTTCTACAACTCCTGAAAGGCCCATTGACCATGTACTGACTAAACATCTTGGATATCTTGAAAATTATACTCCACAAGACCAACGGCACCTTTAGCAACATTAGCTTCACCAACAGACCCTGCTCTGGCCATCCGAAGCTGGAAAAACGTTTCTCCTTTACCCATCTTACTCGCCAACACAACTTTTCCTCTGTCATCTTTCCCAGTCTGTTCACTCCCCCCTACAACATCAGCTGCCTTGTACATGAGTCTTGGGGAGGGAGCTGGGCGGATTTCTGCAGGCATCCCACAGGTAATACTCTCGGGATCTGTTTCACTCCTAGCTTCCTTCCTTATTACATCGCCTATGATGTCATTCTTGACTGCAGGGTTTTCGTAGCTTTCAATGACGTACGATTTTACGTCATTTCTAGGTGCATTACCAGAGGTGGTGTATTTGTGATTCGGAAGTGAGTTCTTCTTAGACAAGTCTTCCTTGTGGCATGTTCGTGTTTCAATGTTGGAGGTCGATGGGTAGCGCTGTCTAGGACTTGGTAAGTCCTCCGTCTTACGCTCTGCTGAAAAAGAAAACTTTTTGAGAAAAAATATGAGGTTCTGACTCCCTATCAGTTACAGCATTTTTTCAGGTTCATAAGATTATTAAGTTAGCTAGAAAATCTTAAAATTCCATTTAAAAACTAATTGTGGAAAATTGATTTCAAATTGATTCAGTTGCTTACAGTCCTGTGAAAGTTAAGAAAAATTGCCTCGTAATCCTTGTAGCCGTATTAAAAACATACTTCAGAAGCCTTAGCCCATGAGGATAGAGGGGTACTTTCTTAGGCCACATGTCAGTGGTGATTGGCGGTCCTTGTAGGGATGAATTCCTACGTAAACATTCATTAGGAGTTCCAACTCAAAAACAATGACTCCGTACCTTATAAAATCCATTATTATTTATTTTATTTATTGAAAAAACATGAAAGGACAGAAAAAAGATGTTGTCCAAATCAATGATATATCGTAACTTTAAGGGGTGAATTTTCAAAATGTACCCCCCCTCCCCCGTGGGACTTGCTCCCCCACCCCCTACCAAGGAGGGTGGCCTTTAGCTATCAAAGATGGAGGCAAAGCTGACTGCGAAGGAAGCCGACGAATATTTAGCTCGTATCCATTATTCTGGTCCGAAAGAACCAACAGTAGAGGTCTTGAAACAACTACAGCGATGTCATATCCTATCAGTACCATTCGAAAACCTTAGCGTGTATGGAAAGGAGATAATATTTCTATCGAAAGACTGGCTGTTCGAGAAGATCGTGCGAAGACATCGAGGTGGGTTTTGCTTTGAACTAAACACGATGTTTTCTTTTCTTCTCGATTATTTTGGATTTGAATACAAAATGCATGCTGCAGAAGTGTTTAGCCGGAAGACAGGGCTTGTAGGCCCACCGTTTGATCATCAACTTCTCATGGCGAACGTCGGAGGTGATTCGTGGTTGACAGACGTTGCGTTCGGTGATTCTTGTTGGATGCCTCTTCGTTTCACTGACTTACAAGAGCATCAAAAACAAGAGAGTGGAACTTATAGAATTCGGAAAGACGGCGACAACTACTTCTACGAAGAAAATATGAAAATAATCGTTGATGAAGATGGCCGAGAAGTAAGAGCAAAAGAACCGTTTACCAGCCCTGGGGATCCTAACTGGGCGCCTAGATACAAATTTGACCTCATTCCAAGAAACATCTCGGACTTCAATGAAATGTTATTGTATCATCAAAAAAATGACGATTCTCCGTTTACTCATCATCGTATATGCAGCGTAGCAAAACCGTGGGGACGAGTAGCCGTTTTAGGGAATAAGCTCGTCACTACAACATTTCTGGGAGAAAACAAGGTCAAGAAAGAAACCAGAGAAATCGAGGGTGGAGAGGAAGGAGTGATAAAAGAACTCGAGCAGAATTTTGGAATTAATAGAGATGCTTGTTTGTACCCCGAGGGGTAGACATTGTATGTACCATTCTAATAGCAGTGCCCTGAAGGGGTAGAATTAATGGATCTGAGATTCACCTCATTTTGGGCTGGAAACTGGAATGAGAGCTACTGGGAATGGAAACAAAAATGGGAATGGAATTTATTTTCCTCTCTATACAAAAATAAAATAAATTCAAAGAAAAGGCTAGTTCTAATAATCATTCTGATTCACTAAGATTGTTCTTGCATAAAGTTTGAATGTTTTCATTCCAAGACTCCGCGCATCTTTTGGTCATGGACAAGGATTTTGCTAAATTTTCACTCAACTACAACGGTAATTGAGTGCATGAATTACATTTAACAAAGAAAATAATGCTATGTATATACCTGGATCTTTGCTAAGTCTTTGTCAACTCAATAAGGTTCATTTTTTATGGATAAATAAATACCTTCGGCAATCTTTTCCACGCCATCAAAGCTCCGTGTATCGTCGTAAACACCTTTGCTAGCATCACCATCTCTTTTCTCTTCCACCATTCCTTTTCCTTCTGTTCTCGTTTCTGCTTCTTTGGCCTTGTTTTTGTTCAATTCGATATGAATACTCTCCCTAAAGATAAAACAGAAGCGCATAAGGAGGACAATAGTCACCCCCCACCCCTACCCCCACCACATTCTTTTAGCACAAACAAAGAATCACGTATTTGAGACTGAATTATTTATCCAGATAAACTTTCACTCTCAAATGTAATTTCCATTGATTCCAGTTTGAGACGACATATTTTCTCCACTGATTTTCCCGCCTTTTAAGGGTTTCCTGTGGTATTGGCGTGAGGTACCCAGTAACAGTCAACCCTCGCCCTTGGATTAGTCGCCCCTGTACATTTTTAAAACCTTAATAAGCAACAGACCTTGGTTAAAACACGGAGTAAAAATATTGTTGAATTAAAACTCTACTCTGCACATGTGATGCACTATTGCTATTGCTACACAACCCTTGTTTCCCCGCAGAAGGAATTCGAAAAGACTGAACTGTACAGAAAATCGTATATTTCTGCCAACTCGAGCTTGTAGTTCACTAGTCCTCCAATGAAATTCGTCATATAAGGTTTAATTTTGAAAACTAAAAGATCTTGTTTGGTTTATTCAGATATCCGTAGAAAGGGGTACGTAAGTTATCAAACATACCTTGCTTCTCCAAGAGCACTCATTGAAGGGGAAAGATGTGTAGCTGTCGACGTCTTGAATGCTTGAGCTATTTTCTTAACTCTTTCTGCTGGTACACCAGCCTTACATAGGCGAGACTCTAGGGCTGTTATTTGCTCTTCTTTCTAGAGGGATGAGGTATGAACAAAGAAAGATGATAAGACAAAAGACCTTTTGCCTCGGGCGTCCTCGGAGGTAAAGTTTTCTCATGTATTCAAAACCACGTGTCATTACCTAGAGTATCATTTCTTTGTTTAACGGTTGCGCACGTGAATATGGATGCAACTCAAACAAGGAATCTTATTCTCAAGAAAATGAACCGTGGTTTGAAATGGAAAACCATTACACTCAAGGTAAAGAGATCGATACTTTTAATCGTTTTCGCCATGTTGGGGGCAAATGTGGTCATCCAATATGGCGTCAAATAATCATGCGACTATAACAACCAATGATTGAATTCGTACCTCTTGTATATGCTTTTTCAGGTTAGCGTTCTCAGCAGTCAGTGCTATGTACTTTGGTCCCCCAATGTATTTGTCCTGTGAAGCGCTGGACTCGGCACCCCCCTGACTTGTACCAACGCTTGTCCCGCCTAAAGAGTTCAGGATCTCTGGGTCGCGCTTTACCGCAATAAGCTGAGAACAAATCATACAGGAATTATAGATTAAGAATCTAAAGATCAAACAGAAATAATTTGAAGTTTTGAACATGGCTGTATAAGCGCGCGCGAACAGAAAACTGCATGCCTTTATCACAGTAAAGTAGGCAAGAGCACGCGCTTAGAAAAATAATATATCGTATTTAAAATAGAGTGCTTTTAGTCTCACTGTTGAATAGTTAGATAAATTTATCTAACTTAGATAACTATTTAGTTGACGTCACCTAAAATAGTAAAAGCGCGCCAAATAACGGTCATGCTAATCCGGGGGGTTGTTTTACCAGAGAATGAGTGAATAGACATTCATTTGTATCATCGTTTCTCCCCCTGATCTCAGTAGCTGTTTACTCGTAGTTTCAAATTTAGGTGACGTCACCTAAAATAGTAAATAACTTATCTAATTTAGTTGACGTCACCTATTCAACAGTGAGACTAAAAGCACTCTACTAAAAATTATTATCGTACTTAAAAGAATTAATGAGAGAAAATATATWCTCTATAGCCCATTTGAGTAGGGTTTATTCACCAAATATGCGTCGCACTTGCTTGCTTGCTTCTAGATCTCTCTGCACATCTTCTATAGAGGTTCTGCACCATCACGTGACGGAGGCTACGTTAGATGGCAGGAACGATACAATCTTTTTACATAATAAAGAATTCAATTTCCCAAGAGCAAAGGGATTTTATTGTTCTGCCATCTAACCACAGATATCCCAAGCTGTATTATGGGTATGGGCACGTAATGGTGCAAAAACTCTATTGGTTAAGGTAGAAAGGGGGTATGACGTTTAAGTATTGCGCACGTACCTTGGGTATAAAGACCAGGCACATGGTAACCGTGGTACAGTACAGTACCACCACTGCAGCCAAGGCGAAGGACGCATTCTGGTTATTCCTGATGACGAACGTCAGAGGCACCCCGATGGCAGTGAGTAACACCACGTTATAGACTGACATGCAGATATAGTGCGAGTCGTTCAAGGCAGGGATGTTGACGTGTCTTGTTTCCCAGGCCAGGAAGAGACCAAATACCAGAAGAAGACCTTTGGATGAGTAGATTATTCCTCGCCAGATGTTAAAATAGGTACATTCGCACTGTTCCCATTGTTGGAGTTCATCCATGTCACTTCCATGCTGGAAGAGAAAAAAGTCTTACAAAATAAAGTCTATTAAATAGGGAAAGATATCAAGCGTTTAGCTCTTTCTTTTCCTCTCTCTTCGCCTCATTCTACTTTTTAATTTTTATTTCATTTTGTTTTTAATTTCTCATCTCATTTTTTCTCTTCCCTTCCTTTCCCTTGCTACCCTTTTCTTTCCTTCCCTTGTTCTTCCATTTCTTCATTTCCTTTTTCTGTCCTTTCTTTTCTTTTCTTCACTTTTCTTTATATCTTTTCCCTTCACAATTCCATTCCTTTCCTTCATTTTTTTTTTTTTTTTTTTCTCTCCTTCACTCTTTCCCCAGGAATAAGTTTGGTCTTCCTTCGAGAGAGTGAAATATAGCATCATATATTTAAAACAATGAGCACCGGTTCAAGTGTCATATGTTTTTCTGTTAAACACCACTTTGATACTGGGATCCTCCATAAAGATTAACTTTAACATCATTTGATTATTATTATTTGTTATTATTTATCATGTTTAATAATATTATTTACCTTCAAAGTCCCATTCTCTATTTTTCTTTGTAGCGGGTCAAGTCCTGACCAAAGACCAAGAACAATGATATCAACGAACAACAGTGCACCAACCATCAAGAAAAGCTTCTCGTCATGAATAACCTTACGCAAAGAACACAGGAATTAGGATAATGAAATAACCTAAAAGCCAAAGAAGCCATTGTTTTTGACGTATTGATCATTTGTATGGCGTGCGCGCTGAATGGTGTGGTCTCTGCTGATTAGGTAGCCCGAGTACAACGGCAAGGGTAGCCTGAACGATGCTATACAAAACCGGGATAAAAGAAGATGGTGAAGATTTTTCTAGTCTTTGGAAAGACACAGAACACACTAGGAAAAAGATTGAATACATTTAACCTAGAGACCCAAGAAATGCGGAAAACGAGAAATCGCAGAAGAGAAGATTGTGAAAAGAGAATGGTAAATAAGAAGAGAAGAGCAAGAAAAGGTAAGAGGCTAAAAAGGAGGAGAGGAGAAAAAAGAGAAAAAGGGACACAAGTAGCCTGCGTGGCTTGGTGGTTTGCGGTTTTTTGTTTAACTCCCTGCAATAACCGCAGACCGCCAAGTAACGCAGGCTAGGAGGATTTATTATCTTAAAAGCCTATCATCTTTTGCAATGCCATTGAAATAGGGTCTTCTGTGTAATGTTTAATAAACGAGCAGGAGTGCTTTATCGGGTATAAAACACGAGGCGCAGCCGAGTGGTTTTAGACCCGATAAACCACGATCTGCGAGATTATTGAACGGCTTAGAAAACTTATGATGTTTGTTCTCATTGTGTACCGATTTTTTTACGAAATGAACCAAGTTTGATAGAGAAAATCCAAGTTAAAGTTTATGCAAATGAAGACGAATCTTTATCCGATTTAAAATCACCTTCATGGTCATGATTTCTATTGTGTTTYCTTCATGAATTATTAATGAGTTTTCTAATGTTATATATTAACCTTTTTTCTTAGCTTGGCGTTAGTAAAAATCACATAAACTCTCCACGTCTTGGCGAACATGGCTCCGAAGGCGATGGTAAAACCAAGACAAGCAAACCACACTCGAACCTGCGAAATCAAATCAAATCAAATCCGCGTAATTGAGACTCTAAATAGAAAGGAGTATAGTTAAGCAATATAAAACGTGTGTGCGTATGTTTCTACCGAGATATAAGCACGCTGGGAAGAACGCGACAGAAGCAAGTTTAGGAACATGAGGCGTAGCGGAGGGTTTTCTCCCTTTTTAAGTTCTCTAAAACTTATGGCTTTACTTATAAACAGAACAGAGATGCGCATGTTATATATATATAGCTATTTGACGATTTTGCTCGAGTATGGCGCGCGCATTTCCGATATCTCTAATATTATACATACGTGCTATATACATATATATATATCCTAGTATGAATGGTCATACCTGGCATATGCCTCCCACGTGCGCAGATGGTACTGCGCTTCCATCGAGGCCAAGCAAGAAGACTGATAGATACATGAATATACAGCCAACAAGAATGGCATCATTAAGACGAGGAGAAGACATCTTAAGATATCTAAGTGAAAGTAGAAACCACTATATCACTATGTTATGTTATGCAATACTCCAGTTTTGAGTTCTCTGTTGCTCAGGGTTGGCCTCGATTTTGCGTAGAATAATCGTGTGTTCCAGTGAAGGACCGTAGAATTTCAAAGTGTTTGTTGAAGTTGTGCATTCTTTACTTTACCGTTGGCGGTATTTGGGAATATTTTGACGCTGAAATGAGGCTAGCCTTGATTGAGTGAGTCTGGATGTAACCATAAGATACCGTACAAGATCACCCTCCCCATTAAGGTCCCCTAAAAAGAGCAAAGTATAAAAAGGTGCGCACAGTAGATTATTCCCAGCGTTCTCTTTCACCCTTGGTCTTGAGATTGGGCACCAGCAGTCTCGTCCAGTAAGAACTATGTCTTAAAAGGAAATGGGAGGGTGCGGGTTGGGAAAAATGAAACGGGACAAGACCCGGATCGTGAAAGAAAACGCTAAGAACATGGTAAAAGTGGCCTTATCTACCACATAATTCTGCAGGATCGATAGAATGTGGTAATGCTTATTTGCTCTCATCTCCTCTTATAGTGTGTGACGAGTCCACTGGCAATAGATTTTGATTCTTACTTGCAGTGACTAAATTTGATGTTGAACACAAGAAACCCAACAGCAACCATGATACAGATGACGGATATGGTTGCCATGACACCGTAAAGAGCTGGAGAAATCGCCATGAATATAATCCTGACTTGGGGGTGGTCCAGTGGGGGATTTTTGTTACTCCAAGAGAAACCTGGATTCATGGTGAGGAGGGTTTGATTATGCGCTGTGTAGACCGACGCCAGTTTTCGTTCTCCTCCTGTGGAGTTTTAAAAAAATAGTGCCGGCTAAAAATAAATAGTAAAATTAATGACTAATGAACAGTTCGAATTGGAATTTAGTGCGTTAGGTTTTGCGGCAGGAGGAAAGCCGAAAAATCACCGATAAAAAAACACCCTTGAATCAAAGAGACCTCAACAAAATCTACTCACAAGTGATGCCGAGTCCAGGAATTAAACCCTAGAACCCGGATGTGAGAGGGGAGTGCACTACTGTTACACCAACTAGCTCTATGTGGTGTGATTTGTGATGAAGAAGAGAAATAGGAAATTACGGAATTTTGGGAGATAATACCTTGGATTTGATTGATCCCGATGTACCCAATGCGCTCTCCATTGGAGGTGAAGTTAATCAAACCCTGGGGAAAAAAGAATCAACTATTAACGGGTGACGTTCAAGGTGATGTTCAAAGTTGGGAGGGTCTTTTAGGGAAAGTGCGTACGCGTTTTTTACTGTGGGTGGTGGGGGTGGGGCTTTACAGGAGAGTCATCAGCAAAAATGTAAACTTTCGTGGAGGTTCAAACCTTTTTATTATGATAACGAAAGTTGTTTCCTTGTTGACTCAATAGGGGGGTCATGAATTTTTTCCTGGGTGAAAGAGGAAGGGTTACAAGCATTTTTTAAAAAGTTTACTGCAAATCCCCCAGCTTCCCCC